GACCTGGGAGACTCATCGGGCCTAAGTTAAAACTTTGGCATAATCACAAAGGGCGCTAATGAGAATGGTAGTTCTGATAATGACAACATGCAGTAGGAGTCTAAACACGATATATGTGAGAAAGCAAAGAAATTTTAAGACGGGTACGCAAACATGAAATAAGATGCTTTGAATACTAATGCTGGTACAATAAATAATAAGGCAAAAAAAAACAATGCATTGATGCAGTCTTTTTTTTTTAATATTACCATTTGCATTCTTAGCGCTCGTCGCGACGTTACTTTTTTTATGCGAGTTTATTTTTTCATTTGTAGCAGCCAGTCGCGGGCCGTACATTATTTTAGAAAGACTGCAGCCATCCGCAGGCCTGGATTTGGAGACCCCTACTTTCACAAATCGTGAAGTAATGGGGATTGCAGAGACCGCAGACATAGCAAAAGTCTGCAGCTAGAGTTGCTAAATTAGCTAAATTTTAGAGCAACGACATCTCGGTCTTCTCGTTGTCGTCAAAGGGCGGCGCACCGATTTTTTACTTTATACAAATACTGCTTAAACGAATCCCCAACGTTTACAACAGTGAAACATGTGCTAGTTTTTCTACCCACGAAATGGTAGTCGCAGAAAATAATTGGAAGAAAAACGAGCTGCATTCGCTCCCTCTGCTCACAGCCAAAGCAAGCAGCCGCGTGATCTGGAGCCAATAACATGCCGTCGGTGTTTGTCGTAGTCGCATGTCGGGATTGGCAAAGCAAAGCCACACATGCCGAGTTCTAGACATCGCTGGGGTGCGGCTATCGTCGTCATTGCGGCGATCTTGAGCCTCTACCTGAACGCCTGTCAAGCTATTTATTATCACGAGCCCATATCGTATGTTTGCACAATGCTGGGGTCCAATCTGTGAACCGCGTTCAGTGTCACCCCTCAGGGAACTATGCCAAGACTGCAACCTCTAAGCTACGTCATCAGGTTTTACAAAGAAGAGATTGAACGAAAACGCTCGCTTTCATGAAATTACGCCTTGATGGAGAAGTCTCTTGGTCAGTGGCGGTGTGTGCTAGTATACACCGACACGCGGGCTTGACGTCACGGAGCTGCGGCGGCGCTGCGATCGCGCCGGAGCCGGGGGGCGTGGGCAAAAGCGCGCACGTTTCGCATGGGCGTCATAGCATTTCAGCATGCCACGAAGCTGTGTTGCCGTTAATTGCACCAAAATGTACAAGAAAAGCAGCGGAGTGAGTTTCCACAAGTTCCCGGCAGACTCTGAAAGGCATAGAAGGTGGATAATACCCGTAGATCGAAAAGAATGGTCACCTCGCGCGAACGACCGTTTGTGCGGCAAACACTTTTTTGGAGGCAAGTGCGGCTTCCATTTCAATCTCCGTCCCGAGGCTTGTTTATGTGCAGGGAAACCGTTGACTGATCGAGACCACCCGGATTTTGTTCCGATGCTGTTCGCGCACAACGCACCGGCCAAGCGCCCGTCGGACGCTCGCTACGCCCGTGCTACCGAGCAGAAGGGGATCGGCGACAGAACGGCAGTGTTGTAGGCGTTACCGAAAAAAAAAAAAAAAAAAGTAACGAAATACTTTACTTATTAGTAGCAAATAAAAGGTACGCGTTACTGTGCTACGTGATCTAAAAATAAAAGGAATGCGTTACCGCTACCGATAAAAACGTTACTTCTGCGTTACTTTTTTTTAAATTATGATTTAACACATTTTACGGTTTTGACGATACAGGTCATATATCAAGAAACATTATGTTCATGCAGAAACGGAACATAATTGCTTTATCTCTTTTTACGGTTTCAGCTAAATACTTACGAGAAAAAACGCAAAGAAAAACATGGCGCGCCTACAACACGGAAACAATTGAAGCATAATTTCTTTAAGACTTGGGAAGTAGTAACGACTAACGTAACTACGAAAGTAGTAACATAAGTACATTACCCGCTACTGTGTCGAAAACGTAACGAGTAGGTTACTACGTTACAGAAAAAAGTAACGCGTTCCTGGTAACGCCGTTACTTGTAACCTGTTACCGCCAAGACTGCGGCACGGACAAACCTTTACTAGTTGTAATGCCTTGTGGTCATGAGGCTATGAAAAATATCATACCTTGACTTGAAGACGCTCTGTGTATTTAATCAATTAATGAATACACACACTTCCGCAGACCCGCAGTCTGCAGATCCCGCCAGCAGTGCAGAAACCGACTCGATGTAATCGTAGACCTCGAGAGACTTGTATGCTTGCACCGTGTCGGCCGTGAACTGGCTTGGCGAAAAAACTAAATAAACGACGACCTGAGCCGTCGACTTCCGTGGCAGCAACTTTATGTCGGAAGTCCAGCAGGCCTTGTTTACGGCGTACAGATCCTCGTAGGCAACGCCGTTTTTTTTTTTCGGTTTCAAGGATCTCTTCAGCTTCCCTTTAAAGGCCGCCGTACAGTTCGCGCTTTCCACTTTTTCTGCGTTTCCTCCTCTCCTGCCCCCCTTTCCTTCCTTCACCGCCCTCCCCCACCTGTTTACCACCCTCCCCCGAGGGGACAACAGGGAGAATGGATTAGGAGACGCCTCCGTTAATTCGGCTTAACCCGCCGAAAAGGGGGCCTGCTGCTTGACTAAAAATTATTTCGCTGCTCAAAAAAAAAAAAATAAAAAAAAAAACGCCGCGGGCAGCGATTGTATGCGCTTTGCCGGATGCGCAACACTCCGTCCGCCTTGAACAAGCTTGTATGCATTGGACTAACATTTTTTGAAGTGTGGCAGGTTTAGTGTAGGTCCTATCATATGGTCCTGCAAGACTTCCCTGTCCGCCACAAGCTGGCCAATAATTCAAGAACATAACGACGGCAGCGTAGTCAAACAGTGTAAAATGTATATAATATTTTTAAGAACACCGTTGTCTTCACTGCGTGGCTTTCAAATTCTTAGCGCTGCCAATAATCGTAATCAAACTATTTTTATGATTGAAGACAACTCGTCGTGCATCGACCCCAAGATTACGCTTACGTGAAACATGATTCGGCGCGAGAGCGGCTCGAGTCACCGTAAACATTTTTTTTTTTTTTTTTCAACGTGGATTTTGCTTTTTTAATTTAGCTGAGGCACCACTGGCAGAACACGAATCGCATGCTTGGAAGGTATATACCGTCTGAAAACTCATATAGCTGGTTCAGTGAATGCAATACTATCACATTCGTTGAAGCTTGATTTGTTGATTCGAACTTCAACAAATCACACGCACCCATTCTCCCTATTCCTGTTTACCCAGTCATAGTCGTTCCCTCACGATGCAATACGAGTACAAGTAACTGCAGTTTATGCATTGTTGACGTTAATTGGACAGCCGTGATCACACGGTTTTTAGAAGCGCTATAGAACGAGCACAAGCGTCGAATTCCGGTACACTGATTCATTTCTGTCTCACCGCCGTGACGCCACACGAGAAAAGCGATTTCGTTCTGTCTGAAATTAGGAACACAGAAATCAAGCTATAATCCCGGTAATAAAACAAAGCGAAATGGATCTCTGCAGCCAATACCCAACCGTTTGCGAGGTGACTAGGCGAAAGCATATATTACCTCTGTGCCTTTACCCTCTGCACACTGCCAGAGAGAGTCATACAAACTCCTTGGAGCTATTGTCAACACGATTGCGTTTGCAAGCCTCTAGTTTGACTCGGCTGGGATTCGTCCCTTTCATAGCTCTCTATGAAACGAGAAAGGTAGATACTTTTCTACATTGGGTGGGTTTGCCCGGGGCCTCCAGTTATTTACGGCCAAAATCACACTGGAGGCGCTTCAGCAATGTTCACTCTAGAGTAACTGTATAGGCTCTGGTTCATTCTGGTCGACACACGTGCACACTAAAAATGCCAGTCGTCTGCCTTGCCAAAAGATACTTGAAGAGCCAACCACAGAGACCGACGGATAACGAGGCCGAAATTATGCTTATAACTCAAAAAATTATAACACAAATTTGGCCTCGTCATTCCCAAACTGGTTGCCGGACGAAATTCTCTATGCGTATTGTAAGCCAGGGTTGGTAATAGTAACATAAGATACGTATGGCAGAATTCCGTGCCATAAATAAAATGATTTGGCTAACGCTAATGTAACGCGAAATAGGTGCAAAGAGTTTTGCAAAAGGAAGCGTAAACCGAAAAAAAGAAAAAAAAAAAGACAGAAGAAGATTAAAAGTAATAATAATAAAAAAAATCTCTGGCGACGTGGCCAAAAAAAAAATTCTGTTCATGTGATTTTTATTGTCACGTGACCGAACAACAAAAAATAAACGAAATAAAAAAAGAACACGAGAAAAAATCATCCCCTGCCCGGTTTCGAAGCTATGCCCTCTTGATCGTGAAACTAGCGCGCTATTCGTTGCGCCTAGCTGCGCCGACATAACTTTTTTTTTTCTTTATTGCAAGTTGCGCCAACATAACTCTGCCTGTAATGCTCGCACATTTTCCCATCATAGGAGAAAGCTTAGGTGCCTTCGTAGTTTTTCATGTATGTGTTATTTTTATTTGTGGCAAGAGTTCACGTTCCAGAATGCTTTTAGAGTTTTGGAGCAAAACGAGTTTTCTTCATCCGAGTCACCTTCTAGAGCCAGTAGACCGCACTGGGTCGTCCGGCTAATCAAGCAGCTATTTTCAAATTCTCTGACGTGCCCGTCCTCGCATCCGAGGTCGCCGTTTGACAAGCTTATCTTCCACCTGGTAGCCGGAACCCCCACGGCAGCTATGTTCCGTCCCCACTCCCTCTCGAGAGGATGGCCTCGCCCCGAGGCTAATCCCCATTCTCTAGACGCCCTTTCCACCCAACGCTGGCCCTTTCCCTCCCCGTCTCCAGCTTCGGGAGAGAAGGTTCTTCCCTGCAGAACGTCCCGTTTGTACAGCGGCCTTTAAGCATATCTCACCCAGGGACTTTAGGTACATTCATGGACGTTAGTTCCGTCCAGTTTATCCTTCTTTCCCTCGCCGTGGGCGTCCCAGATCAAGAGCCCGTCGACAAGCACATACTTCACGAACCGGGCTCTGTGCTACCTGAAGCTGCACCAGTGGGAGCTGGCGTGCCAGGACTGCCGCCGCTCCCTGGACCTGGACGCCAGCTCGGTCAAGGCGCACTTCTTCCTGGGCCAGGCGCTGCTCGAGCTGGACAGCTGCGATGAGGCCGTCAAGTACCTCCAGAGGGGTAAAGCCAAAGTGAAAACAAAAAAAGAAATGAATTTTTTTAAACATTAGTGTAAATCAGTTTAATTTTGTTTAAATCAAATTTGTTTTGTTTAAATCATATTTATTTGATTTGCACGAGATTAATTTGATTTAAATCACTGTAGCTATAGAATAGTGATTCTTAATCATGGTTGATCAATCCGTCCTATCACTAAACGATACAGAAGAAAGTTACTGTAAATTAAGAGTAGTTTAATTAAACACCTCTTATTGAGTAAAACCTGCCATGTAAAACATAACCAGCTTGATTTTTTTGTTTTTCGTCTGTGAAGTAAAGAAAACTTTTTTGCTTTCTGATTTGCTTGCAATAGGACACTGTTTTTCTAGTTTTGGTTTTTTTTTCTTTTCTTTTTTCACATTCTTATTTACTTGCAATGGGATGTCATAAAGAAAGCTCATTGTTTTGATTTGTTCAGAATGCCACTGCGTCACGCTCGTGTTCAGGCCGATGTAGACCTCTCTTGCTCAATGATTGCTTTATTTAAATACAAAACAAATGCATATAAAGAGCATCAAATGACATAAAGAAGTGGATAAAAAATATTTTTAGGATCATTTTTGCGGGGAAGGTCAGATTGAAGTCTGCTAAAACTGGTCTGATTTAAATCGCAATTTAAATCATCTTGATTTTTATTTTTCACCCTGGGTGAGGCAGAGGGCAGTGGAGCCCTTTGTACGCCGACTCGGCCCTACGACGTCGGGCGACTGTGGTGTTGCCACTCTTGGTACTGGGCACGTACGGTGTCTCCATCTCGCGAGTCCGGTTTCTTCACACGTGAAATGCCCGCACCTGGGTCGCTAAACTCGTCAAACACAAAGCTGGGCCGAAGTTGACGGAGTGCTCCGATTGGCCTATCCCAACGATGACTTTGCGCTTTTTTCGCCGGCGTCCAATCGGCGCGCTCCGCAAACTTTGGGCTCGAACTTTGTGATTCAAGAGTTGAGGGCCCTTGGTGTGCACAAACAAGGGCTCGCTTATAAACAGCGTCCCGGTGTACACCGAGAGGGTTTGGCCAATGGGCGGAGCTTGTCGCTCGCAAGCGGAGTGCGACGCCACAAAGGGGAGGTTTTTGGTTTTGTCCACTCCCCCGTGTGTGCTAGTCCAAATCCGTGGTTAGAAACGTGGTTTCTTGTGTCATATTTTCCGGAATTTAATTCGCGTACTGCATTCCTGTAAAAGTTTAAATTGTGTGTGGTGGGGACTATACTAGAATTTAGTTTTTCCTGATAGTTCATTATAATGAGATGTCCCGGATTTTGCAAACGACCGAGTATGTTGATGAGAATTAGTGTATGATGCAAGCTTCGTTGTGAACGAATAAAGGGGGCGTTGTTGGTTGTGTGTACAGTGCCAGGGATGAGCAGTACGTCAAGTATAAGTATTTGAAATATGTATTTAAAATTTTTTGAGTATTTTGTATATCATATATAATTACACTTCAACTAATGTATTTGTTAATTGTATTTAAACACTGCACTCTTCTTTGCTACAAGGGTTAGAAAACCACGAGCCTTGCTACACTTTGTGCAGCCAGCGTTGCCCATCATGTGCCAAATGACTTTTATCTTTAAGGCTGTACGCTATTTATGGACTCCACTCATTTTGGGCACAATCTTTTTATACGGGCTAATATCTGAGTCTGGGTGTTCAAATTGTGGGAACAAAGTATACGTAAAAGTATTTTAAAATGATCACGCTGTATCTCATATTTAAATGCTTTTCTTGAAACTAATTGGATACCTATTGTAGAATACCGTGCATCCACCCATTCCATGCTAAGTGCCCATTTCCAAATTTGTAAGATGTAAAATTGATATCCGGACAAGCGCCCATCCCCCATGTTTTTGCAATTATATCTAAATTTTGAGTGGCTGCTTACCTGGTGTTTTATGGTTACTAAATATTTTTCTCAAAGTATTTTCCATCTATATTTTTATACATTTGTGCCAGCGCCGCTTGCATTAACGGGGAATCCTCTCGCCGACGACAAGTGAATCTTGGCATGCCTAACTCGGGAGTGTGGGTGTGCAGCGAGCGACCTGGCCAAGGACCAGAAGCTGAACTTTGGGGACGACATAGCGAGCCAGCTGCGCACGGCCCGCAAGCGCCGCTGGCAGCAGCTGGAGGAGAAGCGGCTGCAGCAGGAGATCGAGCTGCAGACCTACCTCAACCAGCTCATCATCAGGGACAAGGAAAGGTAGGGGAGCCAGCTGCACCTGTAGCTCATCATCAGGGACAAAGGCAGGCAGGGAGCCAGCTCTGCCCATAGCTCATCATTAGGGACACAGACAGGCGGTGGAGCCCGCTACACCCATAGCTCATCATCAGGGACATGACAGGCGGGAAAGCCAGCTGCGCTCGTAGCTCATGATCAGGGACAAGGACAGGTGGGAAAGCCAGCTGCGCTCGTAGCTCATCATCAGGGACAAGGACAGGTGGGAAAGCCAGCTGCACCCGTAGCTTATCATCAGGGACAAGGACAGGTGGGGGAGCCAGCTGCACCCGTAGCTCATCATCAGGGATAAGGACAGGCGGGGGAGCCAGCTGCATCTGTAGCCTGTAGCTCATCATCAGGAACAAGGATAGGCAGGGAAGTCAGCTGTGCCCGTAGCTCATCATCAGAGACAAGGACAGGTGGAGCCAGCTGCGCCCGTAGCTTATCATCAGGGACAGGGACTGGCAGGGGAGCGAGCTGCAGCCGTAGCTGATCATCAGGTGCAAGGTTAGGCGGGGGAGCCAGCTGCACCCGTTGCACATTGCAGCCTGCAGGTTGAGAATACCAGGACAAGCTCCAAGTAGTGGAGTGGCGCTGGTTGGTTTAGCGTAGCTTACCATGAGATCCCGTGAAAGCAACCACCGAAAATGAAATAATAAACGGCGAAAAACATAGGGTGGGCATCGTTCGGGATGAGACTGAAAAGTTTTATCCGAAAAGTGGTGATAAACACAGGAGCACTTCTTGCAAATCACGTGACACAGGGGTGGATACCGCAGATTGTGGACACCGCAGATACAGGTCTTATGAAGTGATAAAAAGATGCGGGAACCAGGTGAGGACCCGCGTGTCACGGAAGCCGATACTGCAAATCGTGGATGCAGCGGATTCGCTTTTCACGGTGCAACAAACACACTTCCCCACAAACTTGCGTATCGCAGGAACCAAAATCGCGGGCAAAACACGCGGGAACCTGCTACGAATTCGCTTGTCACGGGTAATGTTTCCGCAAGTCGTGCAGTTGCGATTCCCTTCGGACATTGCGCGACAGATATCGGAGGGTGGGCGATGTTTCGGAATTATCATGTCAAGGATATTTAGCCAAAAAAATAATATAGCAGGTCGCTCATATGGGATTTTATGGACGAGGGAATTTTTGTAGCGGAAACAACGTATAAACACGGTAGAGGGCATTGTGGGAGGGCATGCTGCTTCCGCAAGGCCCTTCACTCTTTCTTTTTTAGCAGAGCAAACGCCGAGGAGAGGGAAACCGCCAGCTATATCAATCAGGGAGTTTTGTGGGAGGAGATTGTCCCGCTGTTCCCAACATGCAACAGACTCTAGAAGCTGTCTGGTCAAACCAGCAGCATCAAACTAAAATCTTGATATAGACTCTGTGCAAACTTCTTTATTTCTTCAGTTTTCAAAATATCTAGTATACTGTCTTGAGAGTTATATTATATAATAAGAGGGACACATACACAAAAAAATAAAAGATGTGCTATGCATTCCAGTTAGAACACAAAAATTAGTGCTCGAAGTATGGCCTACTTTTGGGTCGTTTCTCTAAGGCCATGTACAGCCTCACTTTTCAGCGAGGGAGAACATCATCTGGGCAGCATCCTCTCCTAACCTGGTGCGTAATGCACATTAGTGCATCTGCGTTTAACTGGATCTCCTGTCCTCAACGAACAAACTCAGGGCCCCAGTCGAACGCTGATGCAGCGTTCGAAAGGGCTGGGACGGGGAGAAAGAGGCAAATAAAAGTAAGAAGCGCAAATGGTATACCTGTCCATCAAAGGTCCAATGAGACTGCCGCACTTCGCACGGCAACGTCGGTCCCCCACTTGCTTCCGGCCAGACGGATGAAAAAAAACCCGAACCGGAGCTTAGAAGTTATCATGTGACCGACTCTCATACCCCTCGGCATTCGACGCGTGCGGCAAGGCGTCCTGCCAACGCATTAAACATTCTCTTATTCATTTTGGCTTAATGACAATGGATCACATTCATTGCAAAGGAGCAAAGTTTTCAACGGCTTCTTTTCTGACTTTTTTTTTATGTTTTTTTGTTTTTTCAGGAAAGTGCAAGAGATGAAGATGAAGGGGGCACGCCAGATGGACGTGGACAAAGTGGAGAACACTCACGTGCGTTCGTATGCAGTCTTGTCAAATTCGTCCGTTCTGGATCCCCCCACACACCCTCACTTGATCTTGCGGGTATACCTTGGCTCGTGTAATGCGCAGACAAGCCCTCAAGCTTCTGTGGCACATTGAACTTTGAACTACAAGAAATTTTGCTCGACGTAGCTGAAAGGGGTTCGGCTTCTGGCTGACAAGTGTGGAGAACAAACGCCTCATTCTTGTAAAATGTGGAATGTGTTTTTTCACAGAAGAGGCTTTTACACGGCTCGAAATTTCTTCACCGTCCTCGATTTTCTCATGAACCAATCGTTGCGCGGCGTACCCAGGTTTATTGAGAGCTTAGGAATGGGTTACATCATTTGAGTCGGGCTTGTCGGAGCTTGAACATGGGATGCTTTGCACGCGAAACGGTAAAGCCTTAGAAGTAGCAATATTTGAAAAAGGAAACAAAGAGGCACTAAAGCCAGTAGCGGCACAAGACTTGTCACTGGACAAATGTAATCCGCCCAATCACAGCTGCGTATGTCGTCGCTTCAGAAACGTTCCAGAAGTCAAAACTCGTCATTGCCAAAAAAACCTTCGGCAAGTTGGTGTGTCGGTATTACAAATTTTATCGGATGGCACCATTCTGCATCGCACAAATGATGCTTTCACCTACACGACGTAAACAACGCAACTTTTCTGGCGCCATTTGCACCGTACAAGCATCATCTACGGAACACTGATTAAATTTTGCCGGGCGTACAGTCATCTGGGAGGTGGATTTTCTCCACGTGTTCCACAACAAGGTTGTCCGTAGTTGCAGGCACTCAACTACCCCATTGGGTAACCTTTGATGATCCGATGATAAGTTTGTCTGACGAACACAAGACGCGACTGGTTAAATCGCAGCAAAAACGACTGCCTGACGCGAGAGTCATGTCGGCTTCGGCGTCAATCAACACGCCAAAGATGGACTCTTTTTTAAATGATGCGTAGATTATCTGTGGCTGCCTTTAGTTGGTCGTGAACTATAAGCACGGATTGGACACGAGTGCTTTGTCGGCGTTCGGAGTGTACTCGGATCAGAACGCATTCCACACGAGTGCTGTGTCGGTGCTCGGCACAAACTCTGAACCGATCGCGGGCTTCACGCCGGAAGTGATGAGATCAACTAATGGCGGCTGCGCATAATCTGTGTCATTTCACAGTTTTGGAAAGGGTCTATTGAAGTAGAGTCGTAAATTGTAACCGCGCCTAATTTGCGTCTGTCCCGACAGGAGAAGTACATGTCGGAGCTGAACAACATCTTCGCCAAGAACGACGACAAGCGACGGGTGAGTGCACGCCGCCGTTTTTGTTGTCTAACGCAGAGCGGGCACAAACTGGCAACGGGAGTGGTTAGAAAATGTGACTCCTTCGGCTTAAGGTGTGGTGCCAGGAAGCTGGGGTTCGTTGTTCTGCTCTGTCGCAGACCGTCTTGACATTTCTGAAGGGCCGATTTCAGATTAAGCTTCCTTTATATGGTTGTGGTGATTTTGAGTAACAGGAGGGCTGAAGCATCATTGCTCTGAATAGTAGCTTATGTATTGTCTAGGGAAATAAATAAAATGGTTAAGAACGAGGACAGAGGCAGAAACAAGTATGACACACGCAAAGGAGTGCAACTTCCTACTGTTAATTTGGCGCAAAACACAGCAGTATAAGTAGCAGTAAACAGCAAGCAACGATAAAGTGTTCCTGGGCCCTCAGGTTAAAACATTGCCTAGTCTCGCCAATATACACTCTCCCGCTAAAACGGTATTTCATAAATAACACCTGAAGCGCATTCCGCGTATCGATTGCTGCGCTCCTTTTTGCATTCTTGCGTGCTCACTTGTGGCTTCATCATAAGGCACACTTTACTGACTCCAAGGCGCCAAAAAGACGAGCGAGACACCGTATCTGGCCGCCACTTTTCTTAGGTTATGGGGCAGGCCCACAAGCATTTTTTCTACTTATACTGCTGTGTTTTGTGCCAAATCAACAGTTGGAAGTTGCGCTTCGTCTGTCGTACTTGTTTCTGCCTCTGTCCTCGTATACTCGTACATAAGTAACACAGTACTTATGTACGTCCTCGTCATAAGTAACACAAAAAGTGTTCCTTACGTTGTGGTTCTAGCCAGGGCTTCCCTGATCAAACAAAAAACAGCGCCAGAAAAACACAGGGACACAGATGAAGGGAAACAGGACAAAGGCTACTCCTTCTGCGCCTTGTCCTGTGTCCCGGTGTTTTTTCGGCACTGTTTTTCGTTTGTAGTGAACCAATAGACCTATTGCTAAATTACCCAAGCATCAAGGAGAATGCAGCGATTGGTGTTCCACGCGTCACACACTCATGCCTTCGCCGCATAAAAGATTCGAAGTAAATAACCAAAATGAAGCGTTAACGAACGCGCGTGCAAGATGCAATTTGTTTTTGGTATTTGCTTTAGAAAAGTTACTATTGCTGAGGCCAGCACGTGCGGCGCGTGGAACACTAATCCCTGCATTCTCCTTGATGCTTGGGTAATTTAGCAATAGGTCTATTGGACCAAATCCCCACTATATTGCTTCCCTGATCACGTGGCCCTTGCTAAGCGCGACGTCTCGACCTCTCGCACCAGAAACGTGACGTCCCTGACTACCTCTGCGGGAAGATCAGCTTCGAGATCATGAGGGAGCCGGTCATCACCCCGAGTGGAATCACTTACGACCGACGGGACATTGAGGAGCACCTACAGGTGAGACACGGTTTGGGGCATTGGGAAGTGCTGCGAATCGAACTCGAAATAAGGCGGTTTAAATTGGCTGGCCATGAAGAAAATCAAGAAATGCAAGGGAGAAAGAGACATTTCACCGCTCTTCTCCGACCCTAACCAGCTGGGGAAACATTTCCCAAGAATTTCCCTAGAATGTTTTCCCATTCCCTATGCCCCATAGGGAATGAGAAAACATTCTCGGGAAATTGCTGGGAATTGTTTCCCCAGGGAAGAGCGGTTTTCCTTGCATTTTCGCTACGACACCTGTATGGAAAAGGCTTCATTGTCCGACTTTTGAGTGAGGATCCTGATGAAAACTGTAAGGCTTGCTCGCAGGAAGAAGCAACTGCCGTGGGGCATAATGAGCGGTTCCACCAACGGGGTATTTTCCCGAGGGAAAGTCTCTAGTGTGTTTACGAGTTTTTTTTTTCCCCCAGAGGGAAAATTTGCAACGTATTAGTGGGGCAAGGTGTCTTCCCTGGGGAAAATCTCTAGCATGACAGCAAATAGGTTATTTTCCCTGGGATATACTGGAATTTTCTGTAGGCCGCTTCTATACCTTCCTGCGAACAATATGCTGTGCACAGCATTCTGAAAACCAGTTGGCTTGGAGTGAAGTGGCACGGTTTTGGTGCGGACCGACCAAGAAACGCCATTTGAAGTGTTGATCTCTGGCTTTTGCACGGGCTCCTCGTTGATGCCCTGCCCGCATCTCGCGACATATTTATCTCGACTCATGTGTCCTCAATTTTCGTACTGCAGCACTTTTGTCGGACTTAACTCGCATCTGGCAGAGTCAGATCTCGATATCTTCACTGCATAGCATCTGTCTTGAGCAGGAGCCGACTTACACTGCGAGAACTGCCGTTGAGCTTGCGTTATTGTGCGTCAGTGCATACATTCATGAAATTATCTTTTTGCAAGTGACATATTCACCGCTCCAGATGGTAGAGCATTCAAAGTAAGACTCATAAACGCCGTTTAAACGGCAAAAGCAAATGGGCTCGTTCGTCTTTTTCTGCACTGCACCGCAGCAGTGCTGGAAAGTGAAGTCGGCTCTCATTTACATTTTATTGATTCAGAGTCGCGTTCGCGCCCAAACTTGCTGCGCAATAGCATGGCTGGAACCCCTCGCACGAGCCGTCTTTGAGAAAGCAACGAATCCAGCATTTGCGTGAAGGGTATCATACCGTGGTCACCGGCACAACAAACTCAAAGATAGGTGTACCGAGCACTTTTGTTGAGTGCGCGGGGTTGGGCGCCGGTACGACACAAAACAGTTCTTTGCTTTTTGGTGCTTCATTTCGTTGTTTTTTATCGTGGAGATATCTACGATTTTGGAAAACATCCTCTGCGCATGGGCAGCCCCACGCAGACGCTGGTTCGAAAGTTGCGAGTATGAAAGCACGTGATTGCGTGTGCGGGCAAAATAAGCCCCTGCCTTTTAAGAAGGGGAGTTACATCCTGCTTCCTAGATGCAGTGGCCTGTGAGTGAGTGATTTCCCCCACCCTTTACACCCATCGTGGCTTATTTGCGGCTTATCTTTCACTCTGAAGTTCTGCAAAAAAGGCTTCCTCTTTCTTCCCTTCTTGTGGCCCTCACATTTTCATACCATTCCGATCCAGGCTTCCAACAAAGGGCAACAGTTATTTTGAAAAAACAAAAACAAAAAGAAAACATTAAATAAAAATTGCAGTGATCAAAGAAGCACCCAGCGAAAACGCACCGTGCTGTGCGAGAAACAAACTATGTTCTCGTTTCCTGGTCCTGGAAGGTTCCTTCGCTAATCCTTTGGCGCACAGATAGTGACATGTCCATTGGGGGGGGCACCTTTTTTCCAGGCTTATGTCCATTCACATGCTCACACAATGAACCACTCCACCATCTGAACGGTGCATGTGGACTCCTCCCAGACTTTCTATGTCCTTTCTTTCCATCCTTCGCTTCCCTCGCTCAAAGACGTGAGAGGAGGAAAGCCTAGCAGAATATTAAGTCTTGTCATCCGCCTTTATGTGGAGGCAGCAGATCAAAGCACGTATGGATACCGACCAGCGGCAGCCGGACGGTTTGTTTCTGCTTTCCTCCCTGTGCTTAGGAATAACTCGTTTTTGTTTTCTTGCTGCAGTAGAACCTTGTTGATACGTTTTTGAGGGGACAGCGGAAAAGAAACGTATACTCCGGGAAAACATGACAACCGATAACACAATTGGGGGGCTCTAGATGCAATAGAAAGCAGCTCTTATGCAATGGTTTATTTTATGTTTACTTACAGAACTGTTAAGGGCTCAGACACGTTCAAAAAAGCGCATAATATCCGCCTGCCGTTTCGAATTTATGTTAAGCAGTAAAAGCCGTTTCTCGAGGAGCCGCAGTCCTCTCTCACTCCTCCGCGTAGTCGTCAACATTTACGTAGTGGCGCAAGGTGTCCAACGCAACGACCACGTCCGCAAACGTAAGCACAGCGTAATTCTTCGTTTCTTGCTCGACATCTTTATCACTTTCTTCTCTTTAAAACTTTTAACTTCTTTAAGCTTTTAACTTCTCTTTAAAAGAGAGTGCCTTCCTTTTTCGCGATGCCATAACCGTCGTCAAAGGGCGCAAAGTGCACATACTTCGAAACACCACGGTTCAAGCAATTGAGCGGAACAGAAACTAGAAGTGCAGCGTCCATGCGAATGCACCTCGTGCCAGAGAAAGAGAAGGACAGATGAAAGAGAGAAGGAGCGTTTGCCGCCTCGTCAGCCTCGCTCCTTGTCTGAGCAGTGCTCCAAGGTCATACCCGGGCAAGATGGGAAGCTGTGCCAGAGCTCAGCAAAGCCCAGCGAGGAGACAGAGAGATGGAAAAGAGGGGGAAAGGAGTGAAGGGAAGACGGGCACCTTCGTGCCCACACGTGCCGTGCGACCCGCATTGCATAGCGGCTTCGCTTCGAAGCCAGCATGGCAGCCTGGCATTGCGATGCCAACACTTTTGGACACAGCAACCGGGAAAGCAAACGTAACAGGCAGGAAGCTAATACATGTATCTCTATACACCAACTCAACTCTCCTACGTCACGCCGCGGTGGTGGCGCGCCGGACGCACTTCCGGTCTGGGGCGGTGGGCAGAAGTCGCCGTGCCAGACATGCATTCCTGTGTTCCTTTGGAAGAAACGAGACAAAAAAATCTGCCTTCTCGTCAAAATGCTGCGATGGGGGCTTTACCAAGAGAGTCTGGAAAGGTTTGAAGATCAGTTTTCGTGTGTTTTTGCACCCTCTGTTCGTCCGAGAACGTGGATAGTAACCTTGAAAAGGGCAAACCAGACGCTGTCTAACTACGATTGCGTGTGCGGGCCACAATTTGTGGTCGCCAGATGTATTTGCATTGTTCCAACATGAACGAGAGAAAACCCCCAAGTCGTCCGGACCACCCACGGGTTCAGTGCGTCTTCAAATTCACACGGCCGCCTGATCGTTCGAACTTTCGTCTGCTCTTTCAAAGTTGTCTGCTTTTTGTCGTCTGCTCGTTCAAACAAAAGCGGCCCGTTGACCAAACTTTGACCCGGTGATTGCCATAAGAAGTGATTGCAGGCCTCAAAAGGCTTAAGTAGGCTCGGTGTAAACAGTAGATACAAGATGTTAATCATTGGTACCGGTGGCCATCCTACTTGTTACGCTTGGTCTGTTCCCGCTCCCGATTTTCAGTATCGACGTCGATCATCGCCGCTACCTTTTACACTTTTGCAGCACGAGCGACGTCACGACCGAAAATAGCTACAGGAATCTCATCATGGTTTTGGCGTCCATTCTGCAGCGTTCATGCGAATGAATCGCCGCATGCCAAATTATTTACGGAAAGTTTAGCGGCGTAACGAGCCTCGATAATTTCGCTCAGGCGATTCAAGTGGTAAGACATTGCGATGAGGACGTAGAATCGACAACTCCAACGCGAAAAAGAGTATGCAGACTCAGACAGACGCCGACAACGTGACATTCGAATGGTTTGTTGACGCGGGACGCGGTGCTTCTTGCCCGTACTCCATTGCGCGTGCGTTCGAACTGTCGTCTGCTCTTTCAAGCTTGGCTGCTTTTTGTCGTCAGCTCGTTCAAACGGCAGCGGCCCGTAAACCAAACGTTGACCCGGTAATTGCAATAAGAACTAAGTGCAGGCCTCAAAACACTTTCGAAGGTTGGTTGGGGTAAGTCGGCTAAGTGTAAACAGATACAAGTTGTTGTTGATCATTGTTACCAGTGGCCATCACCGACTTGTAATGCCCGATTCTACTTGCGGTTTTCAGTATCGATGTCCACCATCTCAGCTACGGTCCACGCTTTTGCAGTCCGAGCGACGTCGCGACTGAAAAAAGCGAGCAGAATCTCATCGTGGGATTCAGGCTTTAGCGCCCATTCTGCGGCGTCCGCATGAAATGAATCGCCGCACGTCACATTATTCACGCAAAGTTTTGCCTCAATAGTTTTGCTGAAGCCGCTCAAGTAGTCAGACATTGTTAGGAGGACGTAGAATCAACAATTCCAACGCGAAAAGGAGCACGGGGACTCCCACCGACGCCGAAATCAACGCAATTCAATGGTTTGTTTATGGGCGACGGCGGGCTTCTTGCCCACCATCCACCGCGCATGCGCGGCGCCGGTGGCGTCCGCGAGGGGTGCTCCGGTTTGTTTGTAAACATGAGTTGGTGTATAAAAGTAAAATTGGACCGGCGTTTTTTAATGTATCAACCAAGAACGTATCAACTAGGGTCTACTGTATTTTTTTTTTTCTTCAAGATACCTATGCTCGCAACTTTCGAGTGTTATAAATGCACCACTTCAGAACACCTTTGTGGAAATGTGTGATTGCACTTGTAGGAATTCGCATAGTGCTGCCTATTCGGCATTTCTCACGTGGTCCCTCAACAACCCAGTGATGTGATTGCTGCGCCAATTGCGCCAAATTGCGCCAAGGGGCTAACCCTGCTACATTTCACCGAAATATGGCTAATCTGCGCCAAGCCTGCGCCAAAGGACCAATTTCGGTAGCCTTTCAAAAACGAAACTAAGAACCGTAATTGAGCATGCAAGAGCTAGGTGCCACAAGACGCCGCCCGACACAAAGTACCCTGCATCAATCGTCTATTCGGTCTTGCATGATTTTTCCCGTCGTCTTGCGTTTCGCGCTCTCGTCGTCTCAGAAATCTCGTCTCGCGCCTTTTTTTTTTTTTAGTGATAGGCGTGGGCGTGTGCGGATGCTCCGGCGTTAGTGTGCCGGGTTCCAGCCATGCCGTCATGCTGTGAAACAAAACCACGTTTTTGCGTGGCGAGAGTTACTTTGTGAGCTGAAGCGCTCACGCGACCACAGTCGCCGCGGTCGCGCGACGTCGTATGTTGCCGTCCCCACGTCGCTGCAGATATGGCGCTTTCTGTGGCGCTTTCTAAACTAAAACGCATCGACATCTCTGCTCTTGTTTAAATCATACGCTGCTATAAAAATCCCTCTTTAACTCAATTATTGCTTGGCGAAGTTTTGATTACCTAGGTTTCTCTCGGTGGGCTTTCTTTCGAGAGGGACCCCGGTACGTGAAAAATCTGCCGCGAAAGAAAGTTGATGACGAGAAGCGAGCTAAAGCATCGAAGGCAATGTCTGCACGCTGAACCCACACAGCGCGCTTGTTTGTCTCGAGTTCAGTCGTTGCACAAAGCGCTCCAAGAACTTTTTGACCTTGATTGGTAATGCCGGCCTGGCAAGCACGCGCCGCTGGTCTTTTTATTGTCGTATGCTGGACAGTTACATTTTGCATACTATTTTGAGAACCAGTTGGTGGCATGGTTTCGGTTTCGGTCGAACAACCATTGTCTCCGCTCGCGCGGCGAATCACGTGTAACTGCAAGCCTGCCGAAGTTGCCCTCACGTGCATGTGAACATGATTGCACGAGATGCACCAGCCGGGACGCTTGCAATTCATTGTTTTAGGTTTGCTTACTTTTTATAAAAATCGGCACGTCGGGAACCAGTAAAACGGTGCAAGTGTTGTTGTTGTTTTTTTTCGGATTTTTTCAGCAACGCTTACAGCTTTGTATACTTGTGGGATGTCTCAGCACCACAAACACAAACAGCGAGTTCCGCCCCAACACGTCACATCACAACACAACACAAAGTGGCCTTCTTTGTCCAGCACTTAAAACAAATATTAATTTTTCTAAGAATATATGCCTCAAACGTCACTTTTTCTGCTCTGAAACACTCTTTTGGCTGCTCCAAAGTCCACATTTGCTGCTCCAAAACACTGTTTTGGCTGCTCCAAAAGTTGCTCCAAAATGGCTTAGGCCAATCACGTCACTGACAACCCGAGTCCAGCCTGTTTCTTTCACGGGAGCGGGATTCCACTCCCCGTTTATTGGTGCATAAACCACAATGCCCAAAATAGTCAATCTAAACTACAAATATTCACAAATGCACGTAAAGCCAAAGCTAAGCACAAACAGGGCCCCCTGGCCTCGTGTCCCGCATTTACCCTAGATCCGATCGCACACACTTGCCTGGTCTCGGTGCCGCCCAGAGTCCTAAGAGACTTTTGCCCCCCGGTCCCCCCCTCTATATCTCGGTCGATGGGCAAGGAGGTTTCTCCTTGCCCGCCCTGGGGTGCCCTGCAGCGCCATCCAGTGGCTAGGAGAGAAAGCGGCATGTCGGGAGCCAAATTCGAGATCCCAATCGACCCTGCAGCGACACGATCATGTGATTGTGTCTGAGGCAAGGCAACTGCATAGCCACCTCGCTGCAACAATGCCAGAGTGGTTTGATGGGCACCCTCGTCAATGCACGGTGCGCCATACATTCTGTTCACTGTCTTAATTAGATGTCATTTAATTAAAACTTCGGAACCAAGCTAGTTTGTTTGTGATTTTCGTGGCATCAAAAAGCGCAAAGAAGACCGAAGGTAGGGACCGCTCGATAAAGTGTCCTTTAAATCGGTTGAAAGTTAGCCCCCGTCCGTGTCGTCGGGGTCTTTGCCCCGTCTCTTTTGCGCTTTTTAATAGCATCAACATATGTCGTCGTCATTTGTTAGTGGAGTAGCACTCGCGAAACATCCTGTGCAATTGCTTGCTAATGATTGTGGTTAGGATTGACCGATTTCGTTTGTCCGTCCCTCGCATCACAGAGGGTGGGGCACTTCGACCCGGTGACCAGGACGCCGCTGACCCAAGACCAGCTGGTCCCCAACCTGGCCATGAAAGAGGTCGTGGACGCCTTTCTGGTCGAGAACGAGTGGGCTCTAGACTACTGACCCCCCCGTTGTCGCCGGAGCAGACGCCCCCAACAGCGTACGACACCTCCGGAGAAACCGCAAATCAGCGACGGAACCCCCGTGGGTCCGTGTCTCGGCTACGTTTTCCTGCTGATTCATCGCTTCCGGCTCGCGTGACGCCCTCACGAGTCGTTGTCCTAGACTCGCACGGGGCGGCACGCACATCTCCTGCGTCTCTTCTCGAGTTCTCCGAGCCGCGACGTACTTGCAGACGCGCCGGAACGCGTCTGCGGACGCGACGCACCGACCTCGGTGAGTCGCGGCGTCGGCGGCGACGACGCACCGTCTTCGTTCTGACGGGCGCAAAATATACCTTTAGTGGTGCAGTTTTACTGGCTTGCACAGACTCAGTCCTACAAAGCGGTACGGAAATCACGTTTGTGGCCCCTTGTCTAGAACTCGACACTCGCATTGCTTGTTGCCTTTTTTTTTTTTTTTTTTTTTAATTTTATTGGTTGCCTGTGAACTAAAGCAATGTCTCGCAGCACTTTTTTTTTTTTCTTCTTTTTTCCCCCAATATGAAGTTTGTGTTGTCTAGGTTTTCGCTGCCATGTAGTGGCTTTTTGAACAATTTTTTTTCCCTAGAGGAGGTTATTGTACCGTGAAGCTTTTACAGCCACTGAAAGGATGACAAGGGTTGGGAGGAGCTTTGGTTGTTCTGCGTCCAGCGCAAGCTTCCTACCTTCGGCATCGCTTCGGCGTCGCATCAGCTTCGAGCGTGCATGCGCCGCCAAAGTACAGCGTGTCCCCCAAAAGTATTCACCGTGTTTCTTTTTCTCCACTAGCGGTCCAAACCAGACACCAAAGTGTCGGAGCTAGCTGCTAGCCCAATTCTAAAGATGCAAGTGATTTTCTGAAAATTGCAAGGGGGAAGCAAGACCAGTCTTCGCCCGTCTTCGGTAACCATCGCCATTCAGCTTGACGTGTCCGAGACTGCCGCCGCCATCGGCCGCCACTCTCCCGTCGGACATTCCGGAAAATCGCTCGTAACTCCTTCAATTAGGTGACGGTCGGTTCCGAAACTTTGGCATCCGGTTCGGACAACCAGGGCTGCGTTTGCGCGGAGAACGGGCATTCGGCAATGTGTAGTTAATTTTTTTGCAGTGAAAAGAGCCCCGTAATTTTTTTTTGGACATTTCGAAAAGATGCTTTGTCGTTTTCGTCGGTCTGTAACTGTAGTTCTAGAGCCTAATATTTGGGAACCAAGAACGCAGCCCATTTATTTGCGCGGCTTCATTTCTCTCGGCGTGGAAGGCCGTCGCCCGTCTTACAGCAGAGCCGATGCCCGATGGACCGTCGCGTTTTTGGGTGGCCCGGCCCGCTGGCCCAAGCGAAAGAAGCGTCCTTTCGACTTCCTAGCGTTGCGTTTGGAGATTCCATCGTACATTCTTTTCCCACTTGTGTGGGGTGACGCGGGAAGGACCGGCATGTTCGGCATGCTTTGCAAAAAACGAATTCCAAACGTTGGTACCTGAAATCAGGCACGCGAACATTGTTTCGCAAGATGTTTTATGTCTACTTTTTTTTTTTTGGAGCTCGGTGGTACATGGCGAAACATTAAAAAAGAAAAATTGGCTGCCACATATTTTCCATGACCCATGCCAGTCAGTTTGTCGTTTGCACGCCGATTTATGAGCTTGCCCCCCCCCGGGCGGCTAGCCGAACGCAGAAACGCAGAGGCTGGCGACGAGCGAGGTGATTGCGATGATTCATAATTTTGACTAGATATACGGGCAGTGGCCACCTGGTAGCAACCTTGCAAACCAGAAGCTCTTCACATGCACCAGATTATAGCTCCCATTGTTGACTTTCTCTTGTCTTTCCAAAATGCTGAGCCACCGAAGCGGGCCTTGACGAGCCTCCACAAAGGCCTATGCTGGGGACAGGGACTCAGTTGCTGCGTTTGATTAACGTCACCTTCTGCACCGGTGCAGAAAAGTGGAGGGCAGTGTATTTCCGTTCGTGTCTCAATACAGATAGCGGAAGTACACTGCCCTACACTTTTCTGGACCGGTGCAGGGGGTGCGGGTCAATCGAACGAAGCTATACCCATTATCACCTCAAGAACCGTAGTAAAAAAAGTCAGACTCCTCGCAGTGCGTTACTGATTTCCCCCTTTATGTAGAGAATTAAGATATATGTAAATGAATTGTAGATTGGATACATGTTCTCTTATTAAGATGTACACTTTCCAAATGCCAAAACCATCGCTTTTTCCTCCGATAACCAAATCTCGTTAGAACTACTTTGTGCCGTGTATGAACAATGCGCAAAACTTGCTTCTTTTTTTTGAGGTGAAAATGGGTGTAGTATAATTATAAATTGTCAATAACCTGTCTTGCTGTGGTAATGATGAAGTGAAGTAAACAGAATAAGAGGAAACAAAAACTGAAGGTCTATGCACGTCCGCCGTCTTTGCTATATTTGCGATATTTTGCACACCTCTAACTTGAGCTCTAAAAAAAAAAAAAAAAAAACGGATTCAAAATTTTGTTGCAAAGCGGCATTCGCATGCCCAATTTCAGCTACGTATGTTTAGACTTCAACTTTTGCAAGCGTGACAATTGTCTTTACAGCCTCACTCCGTACACAAGTTGAGTTGTACACATGTTCTGGTGCTTTTACTAGTGCTGCCGCTGCTGTTTTGTAGGATACTCTATGTTTATAGTGTTTGAATGTCCCCAGTTTGTTTGCTCCTCTTGGTTTGAGGACCAAAACAGTCCTTGCGATGTATTATATTTCCGCCATGCTTCCTTCGACAAATGTCGTCCTCGACCAGCCAAGACAAGGATGCGCATCTTGCAGATGATATACACTGGTGTTGTTGTTTACATTCTCTGGGGAAAGTAATGGCTGTTGCATCTAAGGCAAGGGTCTGCGAACGTCTGTGTGGGTGGTGCAAGAGGGTGCTTGATGCTTGATGGCAAATGAAGCCCCCGGTATTACTCATTTCGTGGTTGTCGTCTTTGAAGCAGGTTAGTCATTGTGTGTGCTGTTGCACCCTGCTCTGCAAGGTACCGGATGTGTGAAGCTCCAATGTTAAACTACCCTTGAAGATGGTCTCCCTCATTGTTGCCTTCTTACCTGGCTGCACCATTTTCGTCTGCTGTTTTTGCAGCGAGTGTTCCTTGTTCGACAAGAGTGTACCCAGGGCTGTTACGAGTAACCTGTACATAATAAAAGAAAACCTTTGAGTTACTATTATTTCAATGCATGTGTGACTTTCTGTAGACCCCTTCTGAATGCGTGCTCCCTCTGTTAGAAGTTGTAGAATTTCTGCACGATGGTGGATAGTGGATGCAGGATACACTGCCTGAGTTAGAACACCAGAAATTTGACAAACACCAGTACCAATGCCAGCTTATCTAATATATCTTATCAATCTACAGCTTATCTGTGATGTTGCTCGATATGCCATCGTGCAGTGGTTCAAAGCTCCTATCACTGGCATAACTTGAAAGGGGGTGTATCGGAAGTTTGCGCCTGCCTCGGATGGCTTTGTCCCGTCGTCCAAGGAAAGAGTTTTTTTTTTTTTTTCTTTTTTTGCCCACAATGTGCGAAGAAATTAAAGCAATAGATGTAAACGGTCGTGCAATGCGGGTGGATTGGTCCCGTCCCGTACCTCAAGACGGAGGTGCGACGTGGTTAATTCTCATAGCCATCGTGGTTGGCGCCGTGAATGCCACTCAAGACTAAGCAGTGAGGAAGTGGGTAAGCGCGGTAGAAGTTTCTAAAACCATCCAACATTAATTCGTAGCAACTGGGTACTACCAAAGTGGGATTTTGCAGAACGGGAGTAATGTTTGAGAACAAGTCTTTAAAGCAGACGACACTGAGGACTCATTTCCTCGCGTCGTTACTGGCAGGATACGCTGCCGGGGCGCGTATTTTCCCGTCCGCAAGAGGTCATTTTGTTGAGTTGTTTTAATATTAGGCATTCGACAGGTGGGATTTTAGAATAGAAAAATAGGGAAGAATGAACATAACCGCTGGGAAAGGACTGGCAAGTAGTCCATCAAAACTTTGGTTTAAAAGTAACCTCCCACACTTCCATGCCTTCCATGGCCTCCGAGATCCCGAAGCGCACGGAGGCCATGACATTTCAACCTTACTTTTTAAGCATTGGCTAGGTGGCGCAAGCCGCCGCCCGAATAAAAGGTTTGAGCTTCGTTTATTCACTTATCCACCCATCTTTAACCTTGAACTAACTGGCCAATGAGAAAGCAAGAGCTCAAATCCCTACCTCTTCAACGTTAACCGTACTCTTCTATGTGTTCGCGACATGTGGGATGTGTTCCCGAAGATAGATTGGATAGATTGTGCGACGAAATTCAAAAGGCGACGTCGTCTCCCACTAGAGTGATGAGGTAATCGTCGTTACCGCTAATTATTCAATAGCGGACCACATAAAAATAGAGCTATGGAGGACGGGGGAAGGGCGTCTTCGGACGAGATGGACGACAAACGTCAAATGGAAATGGCCTACCACTACCTCTGTCATTTGGAAGAGGCACGTCTATGGCTGTCCTCGTGCATCGAGGAGGAACTGCCCGCGGCCACGCAGCTAGAAGAATCGCTCCGGAACGGCGTGTACCTGGCGAGGCTCTCGCATTTCTTCGCACCCGGTGAGGTTCCTCTGAAGCGCATCTACGACATCGACCAGACAATCTACAGCGGACGTGGCCTGTGCTTCCGGCACACGGACAACATAAACCGCTGGCTGAACGCAATGCGCGCCATAGGCCTGCCCGAGTACTTCTTTCCGGACGCTTTCGACCTCTACGAGAAGAAGAACCTGCCCAAGGTCATCTACTGCCTCCACGCGCTCAGTCTCTACCTCTTCAGGCTTGGTAAGGCACCAAAAATCGAAGATCTGTTGGGAAAGCTAAACTTCTCTGATGACGAGGTAGACCAGGTCCGGCGCGGGTTGGGGCTGAACGCCGAGCTCCAGATGCCGGCCTTCTGCCAGATCGGCGGGATCCTCGCCAAGGAAATGTCCGCGGACGCCGCTGCCGTCGTCGCCATCAACACGGCCATCGACAGGCAGGAACTAGACCTGCTGCTGGAGGCCTTGTCTGCGCCTTCGGCGCAATTGCGAGAGGTTCACTCTGAGAACACAAGCAGATACCAGGCAGTCCTGGAGAAAGCCAAGCGAATGAAGTCGGACAACATAGAAATCCGGAGCCTGGAGTATGCGTACGTACCGGACATGTATGACAGGCTGCTGAGTCTTGCCGAGGTACAGGGTTACATACTTGAAACAAACGTCAATGTGCTACTGACTTTGATTGGCGAGGTCATTGAGGCTGAAGACCTGGACCGCTTCCGGGCGCTGGTGCTGTCGAGGCCAGATTTGGGGATCCAAGACGTCATTGTTGACAATGTGCCCGCTTACTTCCAGGTGAGTTCCTATTTCTACCATGGTTCATCTTTCATTTGGATAACCTGCCATAGTTGCTTCAGCTTGGGGAAGGCAAGCATGCTCAGTGGGGTAGTCAATAAAAGTAATGTTGTGTCATTGGGGCAACAGCCATTAGGAGCCTTTTTCAAACACCTCCCTGTACTATGATCAGTTATACTACTGTTATACTAATAACATATGCAAAAACTTGGTTTTCTGGGAAATTGATGCTTGTCACTTCAGTGTTCTTTTGTTTTATGTTATGTGCCTCCCTAAGGGCAACTCTTTTATATGAAAAAACAACATACTGCAACTTTTTTTATTTAGGAAGAAATTCTAGTTTTTGATTAAAACGCTTCTCCCGTAATGTCAGGTATCTATGTAGCCCCCCCCCCCCCCCCCCCCCCCCCCAGCCTGACTTATAAATCCCCCCTGCTACGAGATGGTCTTAATAGCTTTCCTTAGTTGGAAAATATTGCACATATCCATGCTTATCTTGTGGAATCTACCAGACAAAATTTATCTTTTGACAGAAGCGTAACAGAGCAGGAATAAAATATAAATTTTTATCTTTTGTGGCTACACACTAAAATCTGACTCATTTGGCACTATGTTGTATATAGCAAAAGCTATGAATTTAGTGTCATAATGTAGAGAGCAAGTCATCTGCTTCTTGCACAGGAGTTGCGGTGATGTCTGAATGACGCTGATTGAGACAAATAGTGGGTAGATGCTAGATGCCTTGAGGTCTACCCACTATTTTTTTTTTTTTTTTCAATCAGCGAATTGCAACCCTTGCACAAGAAGCAGACAACATGCTCCCCGCATAACCTAATACAAATCTGCACAACATGGTTGGGAAAACTGCGATTATGAAATACTCAGCATTACTCTCTTTGCAACATATATCAGGGCAGACACATAGAAATGAGGTCAGTTAAAGGGATCCTGAACTAAAATTTGGATTTCGCTAAATAAGGCCGCAAAAGCGTCGAAGGAGACTCTACGAACTCCAAAACATCACTCATACGTCAATATCTCGAACGGATGGCCGTAATTTTGGAAAAGAAGGGTGCGATCAAGCGAGGGCTATGACATCATGGTCCTTCTGGAACATTTGAAAATGAGTGGAAGCGGCCTCACTTCTCCTCCTCCGTTCAGTTCACCAGCGCGATGGGACGTAGCGAGGAGGAGAGGGAATGAGCATCATGAAGTGACTTGTCTCGTCGGCTGTGTTCAATTGCGCACTTCTTTTCCAAAAATATGGTGATCCGTTAGAGATATCGCTGTATGAGTGATGTTTTTGGGTTTTGCAGCGTCCTGCCTATCCGTCCAGCCTTGTTTTGTGAGCTTGAAATTTCGGTTTATTATCTTTTAAAAGGAATATTGAACCAAAATTTGGAGCTCACAAAACAAGGCTGGAGCGATAGGCGGGACGCACTGCAAGACTCAAAAACATCAGAGTAGAGAGCTGGGCTAGTTGGTGGTGGAGTAGAGAGCCGGGCTAGTTGGTCCCCATAATAATCTAATACAAATCTGCACAACATGGTTGGGAACACTGCCATTATGAAATATTCAGCATTACACCTACACTGAAACATCACCCTGCAGCGGTATCTCTAACGAATGGCCGTATTTTTGGAAAAGAAGTGTGCGATTGAACACGGCCCACGAGGCCAACGAGACATGTCACGTCACGATTCTCATTCCCTCTCCTCTTTGCTTCGTCCCCTCAAGCTGGTGAACCGAAGCAAGGCCGCTTCCCCTCATCCTCAACTGTTCCAGGAGGATTGTGACGTCATAGTAGTCCTGCCTTGATCATGCCTTTCTTTTCCAAAGATATGGCCATTCATTTGAGATATTGATGTATGAGTGATGTTTTGAAGTTCATAGCATCCCATCAACGCTTCTGCAACATTATTTTGCGTAATCCAATTTTTGTGGGCAGTGATATATATTTCCTACCCATGCTTCATCTGTAGTAGGCTCAAGGGAAGGCGAATCCCCATCACTATATTGTTCCACCATCTAGCGGAAGTCATGTCAAAAAAGAAAAAAAAGATATAGTGGTGCCATCTGGTGGTGCAGAAACAAAGCTGTACTTTTCCTGAACATTCCCATGCACAACGTTCACAGGCCTTTGTACTTGTGACACTGGCTTCTGGTTTCTGCTAGTGATTAGAGCTTTACAAGCTATGTAACCTTTGACCTTACAGATCAGGCACTTTGAGCAACCAAATGAATTTGAATATTTTGAAAGCAGATGTGCAGAGAGCAACTTTCTCAGTATTTGTCGAAGTGGGAAGTACCATATTTTCCGGGCTATAGTCTGTACCTGGTGTATAGTCTGCAAAAGCCAATTTAAGCCGAAAAAAAAAGTTTTTGCTTAGATAGTCAGCACGCCGTGCATAGTCCACCCCTGATGCTTAGTCGACACGAGAATCTTCCCATACACGGCACACCTTGACAAATGTCTGCTTTTTAGCTCACAAAGAAGCTTGTATTATGCATAAATCATCAATAACATACTTTTTCATAAAATCTGTCACGTCTCGTCATCATGAGCAATCCTGAAACACAAAATTCCTGGATAGTCTGCATGCATAAATAGTCTCTTACAGCCTAAAATTTCAACTTTTAAACTTGTATAGTCCCCAGACTATAGCCCGGAAAATACGGTATAGTCGCCGTGGCCTAGGAGCAACTCTCTCTTACGCAGTTTTCGGAGCTTTAGTTCTCGAAAGAAACAAAAGTTTTCTTTTCTAGAAGGCTTAGAGAAAGAAGAGTACATTGAGTTGGCACAAATGATCTTCAGCTTCTGCAGTTTCTCTCTTCAAGAATAAAAGTATTTATTTGACTATTTCCTGAGCAGCTGCTGGGCCATGGGTAAAATATTTCCCACCCTTGTATCTTTTTCGTGCTTTCCGGAAAAAATCTGAACTTGGCACAGAGCTCTTATTAAAATACTTTCTTTCATATGAAAGAGCAAAAAGAAAAAGTTCACCACGGGGCCTACAAAAAAGTCGGCCATGAAGGGGTTAATTTTTGCTCACACAAATCCTAATTCATTGCGTGTAATGTTATTGAAGCTATACCAGCTTTGACAGTGTTTGGCTGAAAAGGTTATAGGGACCGTCCATTATTTACTGTTTTTCTTATTAGGAGGCCATATCCGAGGTGACTAAACGAAGACCCATATAAATGTTCTGCCTTTCTAATTTATTTTACTTTTGTTCGACATATTGCATGGTAGGTCCTCTTGAAGATAAGAGATGATGCATACTCCAACAACAATGTGTTCTCCCTGTTGAGGAGTGACTTGCAAATTGCCATTCACCTGGCCAATGAAAAAATAGAGGAAGAAATGCGAGTCGAAGAAGCTGTGGAAGCGATCAACGTGTGCCTGGACTGTGATGAAGCAGACAACACCCTGGAAGCCCTCCGTGACCCAGGAGCCAACCTCCCCCTTGTCTATCCTCTGGCAGCTCGGCTCTACCACAGCGAGTTTTCGTTCATTCGCAAGGAAGCAGGCCACAACCTGTGCCACGAAGAGCTTGTCGGAGGCGTGCGAATCCTGAACGCAATAGCGGAGATTAACTTTGCTCTCAAGTCCAATGGAACTTTCGACCTGGTAGAGTGCCTGGAGAATCCAAATGCTCACATTGCAGACGTGCGACCGCAGAACCACGATCGATATGCCGTAGCACTCGCAGCAGCTCTGGTCGAAAAGACGAAACTTAGCCCGGCCGTTGTCTTTCTGACCCACATTGACATCCAAGACATAGTCAGCATAGTCAACGCTAAGGTAGACAATGAACTGAGCCACGAGCAGGCATTGGAACTCATCAATGAGGCTGTCATGTCCAGTTCAGCGAGCCTTGTTTTGGAAGCCTTGTTAAATCCAGCTGCTACCATCCTCCATGTGAGCAGAGACCACATGTTGTTGTATCAAGACTTGCTCTTTCTCAAGCTTCAGTCGTTGGAGGAGAGACCATTGACCGAAGATGACGTCCAAGGTGTTGTGGACACGGCTAACCAGGTGGCCTTTGAGGCGAGCAACATGTGCATTGGGCTGGCAACATTGAATGTCGGCGTCTGCAACCAGGTCGTTGAAGATGTTCGTAGCGGCCTGGAGAGCTTGAAAATCGTGGAATTGAGAACCGACGCGACGGAGTCTTACCTCAAGGAACTGCAGAGAATATTTTTAAGAAAGTTTGGTGATGGGTCTTCCATCGAGTGGTTCAGTTACCTTGTTCGACCACGATTGTTTTTCAACTTAAATGTTGTCCAGTTCCGTAGTGAGTGGGCCTCTGCTCCCAAGGCGGACTGCAATTTGTTCCTCTCATTGGAAGACATACAAAGAGTAGTTACACAGGTCAATGAACAACTAAAAGAACTTCAGGACATTTCTGCTATCGAACCTATGATCATCAAATTGCAAGCTCGTATGAAGGGATACCTTATCCGAAGTGCTGTTAGGGAGCAGTATGTGTTCTACTGCGAACATATTGAAAGCATCATCAGGATCCAAGCATGGTACCGCAGCATGAGGGAACGTGTGCGCTACAAGAAGATGCTTTACGAATTGGATGCATTAGTTCCATTTGTTACTCGATTGCAGTCATACGTGCGTCGGTATCTCGTGCATCAGAAGATTAATGACCTCATCAATCACTATAAGGACAATGAGCGTATAGCCACTGTCGTGCAGACTCATTACCGCAGCAGTTGCGCGCTGCGTGACTACCGCCTCCTGACAAGAGCAACCCCATCCTTTCCAGTGCTTGTCAAATTTTTGCACATGCTCAGTGTCAGTGAGCATGACCTTGCAGAAGAGATGGAGGTACAGAGGGTGAAGGAAAGAGTAGTGGCTACAATCCGCCATAATCAGAGCCTCGAGAAGGAGGTAGACCAGATGGATATTCGCATTGGACTGCTGGTTCGTAACTGCATCACTCTCGAAGATGTCATGAGCCACAGCAAGCGAGAGGCGGTTAAGTCTGATTGGCTTGGATCCAGCGGAGGACTAACAGCACTGAGTCATCAAAGTCGGGAGAAGTTGGTAGCCTACCAACATCTCTTCTACCTCCTCCAGGTGGAACCTTCTTACCTGGCACAACTGATCTTCGTGATGGCCCCACACAACACAAACAACTTTGTCGAAACCGTCATCTACTCTGTGTACAACTATGGGTCGACACCTCGCGAGGAGTATCTACTCCTCCGTCTGTTCCGGCTAGCACTTAAGGAGGAAGTTCGCTCTTCACTCTCCCACCCATCAGACATCTTGAAGGGAAACCCGATGGTCATCAAGATGGCTGTCGGTTTCTACCGAACCAAGAGGGGACAGAGCTGCCTGGAGCAGCTGTTGGCACCGCTGGTCAAAGACATCCTCAGCGATCAAGACCTCGACATCAACTTTTACCCTGTCGACATCTACAAGCAGTGGGTCAACCAGGTGGAGACCGCATCTGGGAAAACCTGTGGGCTCAGCTATGAAGTGACAGAGGAACAGGCTCTGCAGCAGAGTGAGGTCTGCAGACGTCTGCATGAATCTGTGCTGCAACTCGAGGCAAAGGCACTTATGTTTGCTAAGAGCATTGCCGACAGCGAGGACAAGGTACCATACGGTATGCGGTACATCTGCAAGGTTCTCAAGCAAGCACTGGAGGAAACCTTTCCAGACGCGGCACCTACCGAGGTCCTCAAGGCCATAGGGAACCTGCTATATTATCGATACATTAACCCCGGGATTGTGGCTCCAGAGTCATTTGGCATTGTAGAGCTGGAACGCTATGGCCAGATGTCTCACAGGCAGAGGCGCAACCTCGGCAGCATTTCCAGGGTCCTTATGTTTGCCTCTTCTGGGATACCGTACGGGCACCAGCACTCCTATCAAATCCGACTGAACAAGCTAACGGCAAGCTGCGGAGACATCCTTCACAGGTTGGTGTCCATGCAGTCTTCCTTCTTGTGGATTTCTAGTTTCTAGCTTTTCGGCCTTTCCCTGCAATAGGCATCACTTCTTAAAGATGCCTAGGCCTTCAGGTTGATAAGGAGGGTATGGTTACACTAAGTACTAGATCTGTCTAGGTTTCTGTCCAAACACAACAGTGTTGTCATTAGAGACAGTGACACCTGGAAAATACAGTGTGAAAATTCAAAAAAGGTGGGATGTAGGCATCAAGGGTGCCATATCATTTATCACATTATTTCACTAGGGTAGATAGAAAGGCTTTTTTCACCCTGTAGAATTGTTGTAGCCTGCATATTTTTTTATAATCTGGGCATTTAACTGTTGCTTCGTGTAAAAGAAATATGCCATTGCACAACCTGTTTTGCCTTGTTGCTGAAGCTTTTTGTCACCTTTTTGAACTGATTGCAGATTCTTCTTGGAAGCATGTGACGTGGCTGAACCTGAGGCCTACTTCAACATTGACACCTACTCAGAAGCAACACAGCTGACACCCCCAACTATCAGCCTGACAGCTGTTGAGCTGCGCGACACCCACAAGCTATTGTTAGAATTCCGAAACGACATTGCTCCAGATCCCAAAGACCCACTGCATATCTTGCTTCAGGACCTTGGTCCTGAACCTACCATCGAAGACCTTCTGGGCCCGGCGAACGACTCTCCAGACTTAGCGGTCTTCTCAAAGACTAAGCTGTCACTTACACTTTCCAGCAAATTTTCGGAGGTGCAAGAGGACACTCCAGAGTCTGACTACCTCGTCAAGGAGACAAAGCAAATGTTGGTGGAGTTGATGAGAACGTTCCGTAGCTGCAAGACCATTCACGAGATGCTCGACAGCGACATAGGGCCCGAGACGGAACGTGAGTTTCTGGAAGCGCAAGCGGCGGGTCGTCAGCCAGTAAGGACATCAACAGCTAGTCTCCTGAGCCGCCGGAAGTTTGGATCCCTGGCGGCCTTCCGGAAGGCGGTAGTACATAACCTTGAGGTCCTGGAAGAGCGTGGCGTGGCATCGTCCAAGGACGACTACCAGGACTTGCTGAACAGCATTGCCATGGACATCCTGCAGAAGCGGAATCACAGGTTGAATCGCCAGCGGGAGCTGGGGTACCTGCAGACGACTCAGCAAAAACTAGACGCCAAGACTCGTTCCTACCAGGAGACTCTGGACTACTACAGTCAGTATGTGCAGGCTTGCCTTAGCAACCTGGCTGGAGGCAAGTCAAGGAGGCAGTCCATGGGTGGTCGGAGGCAGTCTATGGCCAGTCAGAGGCAGTCTGTGGGCGGTGAAGTTGCAACCCCTGATACGGAAGAAGGCAGGGCACTCAAGTGAGTAGCGAGCAAACCCGAAGGTGCCATGGTGCCTGTTGTGTCCCCTGTGGGAAACTCCGCAGCTTTAAAGGGCAACTCCGGTTCATGTTCAATATTTATATTAGTATCGCCTAAAAAGGCTATACGCCACATATTTCAGTCTGATTCTGCCTAAAAATTGATGAAACTTGCATACAAAGTTTGAGGTGCGCGAAATTACCAAAATCCGCTAATTCTAACGGGCGAAGCACGGTGTAGCCAACAGCGCAGTCAATACCACCGTGTCGGCGCAACATACCTTGCGCGACTAAGTTATGCTCATGGCGCTCAGGGAGATTTGTTTGCTTGTTTTGGACTCTCAAGTGATACCTACAGGCGATGCTAGCAGCACGCTCATCGTTGGCCACGGGATTTGTCGAATGCGCAGGCGCTTGTGTGAGGTTGTGCGTCATTGCCGGCAGCGTTCGTCGCGTGCAAAAGAGCAAGTTTGCGACGTTGAGCATGGCATGCTTCTAGATACTCGTCGCAACATATTTATCTGTGGTTTACTGAACTTCACTTTCTACTAATATTTTTAAAACAAGCCCATCGGAGAACTTGCCTTTTTCTGCGCTGAAACACAAGCTCCGGCCGCGGTAGTGCAGGCGTCGTCGTTTGTAGCGGACTGCCTTTCATAGCAGACAATACTTACGCCCTTGTGCCGAGCTCCTCCCAGCCGCCTGGTATGTGACATCAAAATTTGTACCACGTGGTTAGAGCATGGAGATGACGACACAGGAGCAACGTTGCCTGCCACAGGCTTTCGGTTTGTGGTGAGCTTTAAATGAAGATTGTGTGAGAAACATTCTACTCTTTTTTTTAAAGAAATTACAAAGGACCATTTATTATTACATTGGGATATATACTAATCAACCATTAACTCAAATTTCTTGGAATTGACCGGAGTTTCCCTTTAAGCTGTCTTGTGGCCATGTGCATTCAGACATGTTGCTGTGGTTTTCCAGGGCATACTTGGCATAAGCGAGCATTTTATACGGGTACTTAAGTCAAAGGGCATTGACTGAACTGTGCTGTTTTTGTTCCTTTGGTATCTATTTCGGTTCTGAATGCCAATTCGGTTTGAAGAGCTTTGTGTGGGATTAGATGTATTTTATTAAAAATAAATTCTGAAGCTGGCTCACGAAAGGGGGGGCGAGCACATACACAATTTGAGGCATGTTTGTTTATTCCCTTGTTACCTCGTTCCCCTTGTTATCCTTGTTACCATTCTCAGGGTTTGTTTTGAAGGTAGGCAGTCATCACCAGATTGCTCGTTTTCCGAGTATGTTTGTTCATTTGTTTGGTGTTTGGAGAAATTCTAGGTATGATTTGACATAGTTTATGTATGTTTGCTTTTTAGCTGCATACGTGATTTTGTGTACTACCTGCACATCACTGTCTTGTTCATCCTGTCCTTGGGTGTGTGCCGACACAGTGAGAACAGAACACATTAGCAGCCGTGGTGGATGTTTTCCACAGCTAATAAATTAAAACGAGTCGCACAGTATCGGTTGGTAAGAAGAAAATTGCGTAGTGGCCATGTTTACTTGCCTTTTTAGGGACTTCCATGACCAAAAAATATTGGCGAATTGGGAACTATTTTTGTCCCCATTTTGCTAATATTCTTTGGTTGTCACACGTATCTCAACAAACTTTTTTTGTGCTGCCATCTATGCAAATGTCTCTAAAGCAAAATTATTTCCGATGTTTGGGGATAGATGGCGCTTCATCCTGTCTGATATAAAAAGCGAGTGTTTAAACGTGCCCCCCCAGACCAACCAAAGGGCAGTGCATCTATAGAGGCACCCCCAAGCTGCGGTCAAAATTGCCATGCGTCTAGAGACGCGCTTCCCAGTTAAGGAGTTGAAACAATCTACATATCTTTCATCTAGATGGTAATGACCAGTAAGAAGATATATTTTTAATCAAAACTTAAGGCCCGTTCACACTCTTGCAACCGAGTACGACCGAGAGAGACAAAACCAGTTTTTAAGCCTCTTGCGACGTCTTAGGACCAGCCCCGCTGCAGCGCATCCGGTCCTAAGAGGTCGCAAGAGGATTAAAAACCGGTCTGGTTTCTCTCAATCGTGCTCAGTTGTAAGAGTGTGAACGGACCTTTAATTTCATCCATCGTAGGAGTAATCGCATTTTCATTCCCCGACCTCTCTGAAGGTCACGTAATGTGCTCAAGTACACGGGCTGGAAGCTGCATGAGAAAGGCATCCTCCTCGAAATCACTGGACTGGATATAGCAATGCTGAAGAATGTGTCGTTCGAGATTTCTCCGACCAACCGCACGGGCATCTTCAGCGTACGCTCCAGGTTCCTCGGCATGGGGGCTGACGAGATCACCCTTGACATCCAGGACCTGCTGAGGCAGCAGTACGAGGGCACGGCCGTCACGAGTCTGTTTGGACGTGCTAAAGTCAACAATAACTTGCTGCTCTATCTGCTGAACAAGAAGTTCTATGGAAAGTAGCCTCATCTTTAAGAGATACCCTAGATGTTCTTGCAGACACCAGGGTCCATTGCATAACTCAAGTGTGGCCTTATGCCAAGTTTTCTGCCCATGCAGATTCCACAGAACTCAGTCACTAATTTTACTACTAGATCTTTTTTTTCACTTGGTTGCGATAAGTAGTTCTCATTTTATCCATGATGGTCTCGCAGCTGTTGTACTGGAACAATGCTTCACACTGAAGTCCCAAAGAGCTGTTGTTCTAACATTGTGACCTGTTTACTGCATTGGGGATGTGATTACCAAGGAGTGTTCAATTTGTTTATTTGCTATTGATTGCTAACAATGGCTTTACGCTGAGATGTCATTATTACTACGACAAGCTGCTAAGGGTTCAGTTCATGATGGTCATGACTCATGCTGCAATAGTGTAGGTGTCTTCAGCAGGTTCCTTCTCAGCTGCGATACTGCTTGATGGTTCTCTGCAATTACTATGTATGGGTCAGTTTAGCTGCCAGCTGTACAATTCGTGAGCCTCAACTGTGATAATGCATTATGTAAATGTTGGGTAGGTGCGATGGAGTATTTTTTAAGAGAACACCAAGCTAAAAGGGAGGCAAAAGTCAAACGAGACCTTAGGTTCATGGTTGTTAACTGCAGAGCTAGGAGGCTGCCTGTTGATGGATCGTTGACCAGACTCTAGTCTAGACTATAGTGTTCAAAGACCTTCGATCTCACTAACGTTTTTCTAGCTCTTCTACCTCAGAATTCTTAACCCTGATATGGCCCAGGGACAAGCTGTAAGAAAAATTGTGTGCAGAGTGTAATGCTGCCTTTTTGCAAGAATGGTGGGCCTATGAGGTATATTTATGTGCGCAGGAAACAGTCAAGATGTATTTTTTCTATGGTAATTCACACTTGTTGAATTTTGCAGTGTATCAATGACTAGTCTGCTTTCATTCTAGTCATTGAGTGTGCCTTTTGTGTGTGTGTGTGCAGTGTTGAGAGTTTATTTACAAATAAAGTTGACAGTTTTGCGTGGCATCCAGTTTTAGATTTTATATTTTGTTGTCAAAACTGCTGGCGCAAACGTGGGGGGCCTGGTTTAATGTTTTCTGTGCGCCCGCTGCCATGCAGCCGAGAACCTACACCAGTGGTCTCAAACTCATCTCGGGAAGCGGGTCGCACCAAAATTTAATACCCAAAGGGCCGCGGCTCCAGGACGAGAAGGGAGGGGGGGGGGGGGGGGGGAGGAAAGGAAGGAAGGGGGCTGTAAAACATTTCGCAAAGTACTTGCGTAAAATGTGTCCTAACTCGCAATGTGTCATAAAAGACCAGACAGACTAAGGAACAATTTAGGGATTTCATGCAAAACAAGAAATGAAAACATAAATTTCTAATAACGCTGCCTTGACACCTGGTACCGCTTTGCTGCATCATGCGGAGAAATGTTCGCGCGGAGACGATCCTCATGGTCTATCGCAAATGTTCATCTGTTATTCGTGGCCTGAGTGTTAACTTGTTCACCTTCATCAAGGAGAAAATATGCTGGCACACGTAGGTACTCCCAAAGCATGGCAGTGATAACCACCGCTCGTCGACGTCAAGCCGGGAAGCAAGCTTCGTCCAGAAACTTGTAAAACTGTGCCACTCCCACGTCCTGAAACGTTTGCCTCAGTGTTGTTAGCCTGCAGCTTTATAAGTTCCATATGGATCTCTGAATCGACGTCATCGGCCTGCACCGAGAAAACTTCAAAGTGCTTGCCTCCTGAAATCACTCTTCAAATTCTTTTTCGAGACTACGGAGAAGCCCAGAAAAGATACCGCAAGAATCTTGATCCATCTTCCCCAGCGACTTTAGCATTGGAAAGTGATCAATCTTTTGCAGTCCTATCTGCCGCTTCCAGAGCTGCAGTTAGCATTGAAATGCCCAAATACACCATGGTGATGATTTTCTGCTTTCCCCGAAGTTTAACGTTGAGGCAGCTCAGGTGGTCAGTTAGGTCGGTGAGGAGTGCAAGAGAGAGAAGACCACTTTGCATCTGACAGCTTGGCGATGACCTTGTTCTTGCTGTTGAAGAAAACATCAATCTCTTCTCGCAGATCAAAAGAATGTTTAAGGACCTTTCCGCGGCTCAACCATCGTATCACAGTTTGATTCAGAAGCTCACCATGCTCGCTACCAGTCGCCTCCAAAAGAGACGAACAGGCAGTGGTTTAGTGCTCTTGAAAGAATTAAGTCGACTGCGCTGAATACATCCATGACACTCTTTATTTGCAGGGACTTGCTGCACAGTCCCTCTTGATGAAGAATAGAGTGAACCGCTGCAAACTGCTTAGCGACACCAAGTTCAGCTAATTTCTTCCTCAGTCTTCCCACAAGCCCGCTCTTGCTTCCCACCATTGATGGTGCACCGTCAGTTGCAAGAGAAGCCAGCGAGCTGCCACGGCAATCCAGCATGCTCAGCAAATTTTTCGATGGCTGAAATTGTGTCTGCTCTTATGATTGTACCCTTCATTGGCGGGAGATTTAGAAAGGTCCTCTGTAACGTTTCAATTTTTGTCTACACCTCTGACGAAAATGGCACATTGAGCATTGTCCGTGACATCACCTGTCGACGAGCTCCCACGGCAGGTCATCAATAGTCTTTCAATGTCATCACTCATTTCGTTAATCCTTTCAGCCACGGTGTTTGGCGAAAGGCTTATTTTCTCAAAGGTCTTCTTCGTGGCTGGACTTGCAGCTTCACAAACTTCTAGAAGGCTCTTTTTGATGAGCAAGCCATCGCTGAACGGTTTTGAGGATTTGCCAATAAGCTCGATGGCAATGAAGCTCGCTCTTACCGTTTCCTTGCTTGTCTGGCCGGCTTTCTGAAACGGGTCTTTCTGATTAAAAATTTAAAACAGTGCAAGGACACGGCCAAGACCAAGAAGGTAGACGAACAAGGTGCTTTATTAGTCTACCTTCTTGTTCACGTCCTTGCACTGTGTTTAATTTTTAATCATGAAATACCAACTAGCCCGAACTTCTACGTTAGGTCTTGCTGCTTTCCCAGTGATGTCTTAAAGGGATACTACATCGAAATTTCGGCGCTCATTGTTTGGTCTATATGTGTTCAAAAGAGCAGTATCACATAGGACATACCAATGTCATGTTAAAAAAGTCGAAAAGGAATTTTAAAACGAATTAAACGATTAGCAAAGAGCACCTGGTGATTGTCGCTAACGCCTCGTTTGTAATGCTCGTCTAGGAACCTTGACAGCTAGTGACGGAGGTTGTCTCGTCTCCGGCCACGACGTGAGAAGGGGGGAAGGAGGAACTCCCATCTTCCCGAGAATCCCTTTTATGTGTCGCAGAAGTCGCTATTGTCCCCCTAGAAGATTATAGAAGATTCACCCGTCACTCTAAATTCGTACAAAAGCAGCTGATTCGGTGGCTGGAACGACTAGGCCATCCTCTCGACGTCAGCCTCGCCGTACCTTTGTTCGTTTTGAGACGACCTACGCCACGATTGCGTTGGGTTGCACGTGCCCTAAGCTGGGCCTTCTCCGAGCGCTTGCCAGAGTGGGCCGTTTATAACGAAAAATACAGCCACCAGGATCAAAATACAAACGTGCGATTGTCATTTACGGATATTGTGGATCATATTCAACCTATTTTTGAACACGACGGGAATATTTCAAATTTCGTTGAAAAAACCGTGTCCCACAGACTTTTCCAGCGAGCACATCATACCTCTCGCCATGGCATGACTTGAGGTGTTGTCGGACATTATTCTCCTTGGGCACACAAATGGTCTGCTGGCAAATCAAACAACACTTTGTCCCGCCATTCTGTGAAGAAGTAGGCGAGTTCCCACCGCTTTTGAAAGAGTCTCTTCTCGTCTTAAATTTTGTGCTTCGTAGATGGCTTCGCCAACGACATTGCAACATCCACCACAGAGCATGACACCAGTGCCAATAAGTGGAAATATCGGGCAGACCGAATAAGACCCGGAAATATTTCCGAACTAGTGTTTCGAAAGTATCTGAATCAACTCTTTAATTGCAGTGACGTCACTATGTCCTGTTGGCACATTGTGTGACTGACCTAGGGTTCCCCCAGACCAGAAAAGGGACAAAACCCCAAACATGGCCTTTGTCCCTCCCCCCCCCCCCCCCCCCCCCCCCCCCTCTCCCCTGTGGCTTATCTCTTTCTCCAAAGTTGATACAAGGTTTGGTAAAGGGGAGGGGACGGGGGGAGGAGTGGAGGGCACAAACTGGAACTTTGGCAGTGGGCCGCTGACGAGAGCTACGTGTTTGAGACCCCTGCCCTAGACGTGGCTTTGACAGCGTAGTCCACACGATGTCTAAAACGTTCTAGGACGTTTGCAGCACGTGTTTACTGCGTCAAAATGCTCCAAGACATCTGGTGCGTCTCCTTTCTAGCCCTCCGATTGCCGCTTCGAATACCGCACTGTTCGATTTGATTTTCGCATCGAACACGTTCGGGCGGGTTCGTTTGCTCCGTTGCGTGCGCCTCTCGCCGCGCACTCGCCGAGTGGCCATCGCAATCCACTATCAAGGGGAGGCCTCCGCATGACGTCATCGTTGGTTGAGCGCCAGCCCGCCCCAAGCGGCAAACACGCCCAAACTCGACCGGAGTCGAAGCAAAGCGGTAGACCCGAGCAGACCCGGGAGCGTATTTTCCGGTTCGCCAGCGGCTACTGCCTTTCGGCGCTCGTGAAGTGAGCGAAAGATAGCTTCGCGTGCTTGCCGCACATGCAGTCTTGAATAGTAACGCGTTACTAGTAACGCGTTACTGTAACTTCGTTACTTTTTGGTAACTTGTAACTGTAACGAGTTACTTTTTAAAAATGTAACTTGTAACTGTAGTTCTATTACTTTTTTTTAGGTATAACGATCAAAGTAACGACGTTACTTTTGTCGTTACTTTTCAGTGTTTTATGAATAATATATCACTGAACGAGTGCAATTTAGCAATTCCTTGCACTTTCAAAATCGTCTATTCCGACATTTCAAGTGTCAAGTTGGCCCTGCACTAAGTTGTGAATACGTTCCTTCTTGCGAGTCACGACCCGAATATAGCCACGTGTAGATTTTATGAAAAAATATCTAGTTATCTTTATACACGCGCTTGTACTTTGTGACTGAACGCTTAAAGGGACACTGAATCCCCCCAAAATTTATTTTTAATTTTTTGCCAGGCGCTTCATTATGGTGTCGGAGGACTACCCAATTAATATTTTGCAACAGAGTACCGTATTTTTTTAATAAAGCCGAAAGACGCAACTGCTCGAAACCGAAACCGAAACCTGACGGAGGTCGGAGAAGTGGAGAGAAGAGAGTGGAGTGGCGGAAGTCACGTGGCTGCACCCGACCGTGTGTTTTTTTTTTCTTTTTTTCTTTTCTCCTTCCCGGTAGCAGACGACATGCGGCGTATGGGAACTGCTCGCCGTGGGATTCTTTTGCAGTTATGTTTGTTCCGCTCGTTGTTCTGTACTCCAACATGAGTTGTTTTGTACATTGAGGAGTTGGAGATGAGTAGTGAGTGCCCGTGGTGAATTTTGATCGGCTCCGAAAAGAATACACCCAAGATGTTGCGTGAAGAGCTGGCTCACATGTCCCGCGTCCGAAACAGAAGTGGCATTGTGCGACAGAGTTTCCGAAAGATCAACGGGATCGGGACCAATGGCTGGCTGCAATTCCTGTAGACCATTTACGGGCACCTCGGAAAGCGGACGCTGATTTATATGCTCCTTGCATTTTGTGGAAAGTGATTACATTGAGTTCGCAGGTGTCAAAAAGGAAATCCCATACCATTTAATTCAGCGACGTGTCGTCCACAAAATTTGTTTCTTATTTTTTGTTTTTGTTTCTTCAGTAATAATTGTAAAAAAAAAAAAATGTAGACATCAAAAGTATTTAGAAGAAAAAAAAAAAAAAGGGGTTTCACGGGGGATCGAACAAGGCTCTACCGCGTGTGAAGGGGACGTCTTTCCCACTGAGCTACTGGGGCATATCGAAAATGGGGTATCTCTTTCCTTA